TGTTTAATATGGAATCATTGGTATGAATACTTTCTGTAATTATTAAAAAATGGAAATATTTATATTGAAGATAAATTCTTTTAGAACCCTCAAAAGAAAGAATTAAGTGGGTGTATCAGACCCTTAATTTATGTTGCTTTATTTACTCCTATAATAATATAATGTAAGGTAGACCTATTTTCATAAATAAGGAAACTGAGGTCTACATAAACTAAATAACCTGCCAGTGATCAAGCAGCCAGTTATTGGCTCAGCTTTGATTCTCCCTAGGTCTGACCTGCAGGGCCCACCTGGCCATTGTACCACCCTTGCAGTGGCCAAATCTGCGAAGCCAAGCCTAGCCATTGTTACTTTAGTGGGATTCATGATTCTTGACATCCTACATTCTATCACAGCAAATTCACTTTAAAATATTGCTTACTTCAGAATCTATTTTCAGCCTTCTACTTTCTATAATACTACAACTCTACCCACTGATTTTTTGTGTTACTGTTCTTTTCAATCCAGTTTATAGCATTTTAAAAGTTGATAGTTTGGCTTATCCCTGGCTCATGCCTATTTTTCATAATAAGAATAAAGCTCACAATCAGATTGTTGTTAATGGGCAATTTATTTTTAATTTAGTTGAACATTTACCATTCACATTGCGTTCTATTTTTAAAAATTTATGCCTGCTAGTTATTTTTGGACAGGACTTTTTTTTTTTTGTAATTAAGTTTTAAATAGATACTACGTTCAGTTAGCTTCAAATTCAAAAGGTATAAAATAAAAATAATAATAACAAAAGTTAGCTAGTCCTGTGTAGCACTTACTGCGTTCCAGGCATTCTTTTAAGCATTTTTATTGCATTAATTTAACACTCACGAAAGTGATGCTGTAGGTACTACTGTTATCCCTATTTTGCAATAAGTGAACAAGCGAGAGAGGAATACCTGAATAAGAAACCCGGTCTGGGTTTTGTCCTTTGGCCGGTCAAATGTCACAACCTTTGGAAGGCCTGTTAGGAAGATAACTCTCTCTTATGGGTTGGATCCAGTATGCCTACCACCAGGCTTTTTTTTTTTTTTTTTTTTTTTTTTTTTTTTTTTTTTTTTTAGTAACACTTACTGCATTTTTGCATTTTTCTGTTATCTCATTTTTAGTTTTTTTTTTTTTTTAAGGCAGATACCCAGACTTATGCTTTTGTGCAGCCCAAGGACTAAGCACAGTTTCTGGCACAACTAGGTACTTACTAAGCACTGCTTTGCTTTGCCAGGACTATTTTCCCATTAACAAATGACTGTATCTGCTCTGCTTACTTCACAGAACTAGGAAATCAAATGAGAGTTCATAGCTGTTTGTAAACTTCAGAGCATGCACAAATAGATATTAAACCAGTTACAGAGTCCATGCTATATGCTTAATGAAGACGGATGCTTTTAACACCTCTGGACATTAACAGAGGGGTTGGCACCCAGCACAAATAGGATCTCAGCAATCCAATGTGTCATCCTGTTCTGGCCTGCTTGTTTGAAATTGATAGTCTTAATTATTTCAAATGGTTTTTGTATATTCTGATTGCATGCATTCTACAGAAGCAGATAAAATTGAGTCTTTTTGGTTTTCGTTTGTAGAGACAGGATATCACTATGTTGCTCAGGCTGGTCTTGAACTCCCGGCTTCAAGCAATCCTCTCACCTGGGCCTCCCAAAGTGTTGGGATTAAGGTGTGAGCCACAGTGCCTGGTCAAAGAGAGGAGTATTTATGTCTTGACACTTATATATTGCATACTTATACTGTCTAAACTAGTTGCATAATGGTTCTGCTATCTAAATCAGTGTTTCTTGGCATTGGCCACATATAAAAGCCATGAGGTTGTACTTTTGTTTTTGGAAATTAAACATTCTTAGGTTCTGCCCCCAGATTCATGGAATCAGGGTCTCTTGGTGGGAGGGAGAGATCACCATAGGTAATTTTTATGAGTATCTAGGGATGAGAAGTATTCTAAACATGTTCTAAATACTGTCTAAATACTGTGAAAATAATGGCTTAATGTCCACAGCTTTTAACAGAAAATGCAGTTGTTTCATATATGATAGCTCTCAAGAGCACTAACATTTACTTTGTTACTCTAATGTATATTTTACAGTCAGTTTATGCTGGTCAGTTCTGTACATACTCTAATTACTCAAAACCATATGGCCACGGCAAGCAGCTGATAAGTAGGTGGTGCGGTGGCTCACGCATGCAAGCCCAGCACTTTGGGAGGCCAAGGCTGGCAGATCAGGAGGTCAGGAAATCGAGACCATCCTGGCCAACATGGTGACACCCCGTCTCTACTGAAATACAAAAAAAGTTAGCTGGGCGTGGTGGCGCATTCCTGTAGTCCCAGCTACTTGGGAGGCTGAGGCAGGGGAATCGCTTGAACCTGGGAGGCTGAGGTTGCAGTGAGCTGAGATCGTGCCATTGCACTCTAGCCTGGGCAACAGAGCAAGACTCTGTCTCAAAAAAAAAAAAAAATCATCTTTGCCTTGTTTGGGAGAAATCTGGGTTGTTGACCAGCTAGCACTCAAAAAAAAAAACAGAAAGTACAGCTTTACATGTAGACATTTTATGATTTGCTGCGGAGATGAGCAGCCATCTATTCATGCAGGAGCCTTGATGAGGCTCATCAGTTTCCATAAAAGGATGTCATTCTTACTGTCTGCTAGTATGATGGTCAGAGTATTATGTGTGCCCTTAGTAACATACAGGACTAGCAGGCGAGGCCCCCATCAGAGAATATAACCTGGAGTGATCTGATACACAGTTTTTGTCAAATACCTCATTATGGAGAATTGTTTGAAGGACATGCAGTCCAAGTATTTATTCTAGAGTTTATTTATTTATTCTAAAGTTTATTCCGGTATCAAGGTGAGCCATCAAAAAGCTGTTTTAAAAATATCTTATCTTGCTACTCCTACCTTACTTAATTTCCTCACTTGTGAAAGAGAACTTGAGTTCCCAATCACATGCATTGGGAGTTTATCCAATGGGTATGTGATCCAGCAGGAGCATAGCTGTGGATAATTAGGGAATTGAAAAAATTAATAATCAAGTATAACCCTGTGCCAATAGGCTGAAACTTATTAAAATGCAGCTGATTCGAAAAGCTTGATTTTCTTCCTTCCATAGAGATCATGTTAAGTGCTATTTTTCATTAAGTGGGTTTAGTATACAAAGTGGAAGTGTGGCACTCCCATTCTGATTATTTTACAGCACTCAGCATTTTTCTGCGTATTTTCTTTTATATCACTGATTTTCAGTTTCTGGCTAGTTTCCCCTAGTAAAGTGAGCCATTTGTTCTTTCATCAGAAAAAAAAAAAAAAAAAAAATCGGTTGATGATTTGTTTTCTAAATGAGTCATTTCCTTATTCTAACTAAAAACCTTATGTATTAAAAATGTAAGACAAGCTTTCCCACAATTTGCGTCTGGAAACTCTGGCTGCTTTTACAAGTTGGGGGGCATTTGTTATAGAATGATTTTTTTCCACTTACTTTATAAGTCGGGAACACATTAGTACTAAATGACAAAAACCTGAAAAAAAGCTTCACTAGATGGAGATTTGTTTTAACAAATCCCGTGGTGTAGGCAGTAAGAGAAAAAAATACCAGAGAACAGGGTTTTCCCTATTTTTATCCTTATTTTGGCATCCTTAGAGCCTAAGAATTTGTCCTCAGTCTTCCCTTTTCTAGGACTGTGAAGTTCTAAAATGGCTTCTGTGCTTCTAGCAGTTACTTCCCCTGAAGATGGAAAGGCAAGGGCCGAAAGGCTTTCTTCTTCCAAGGCTGTTCGGCCCCTCCCCCTCCATTCTACCAGGAGTTGTTTAAATTTTATTGAAGGAAACTACAACACATGGTCACTTCTAAGTATAGGGGAGTGGAGAATATACTTCTTTTACTTTTGACATATATAGCAGGAGAGACAAAGAGAAGAGGCAGATGAGTGGCTTCTTTCTTCTTTTACAGTCTCTAACAAGTGTTCTTACTGAAAATGGGCCAGTTTTTTTTTTGTATTTTGCCTTTAATATTGCTACTTTTCTTTAGTCATAATTTAGGAATTCGGAACACATTTAGTCTGAATTGATTCAAATAGGTCATTCTTTTTTTGATGTACATATTGTTTTGTAAAGTGTGGAGATTATTTAATTGATAAGTCACATTCTGAAATCCATATGGGTAGATGATATATTGCAAACTTTAATGCTTTTAGAATGCAGAGTCTGTTGTAGCCTTTTGAATAATTTTGAATTTTCATGAGACAAGTTGAAAGTAGTAACTATAGATTTTGAACAAATGGCAGTTTTTATACCAAAGTAGCATTAGAGGAGTTTTTTAGGAATCTGATTGAAGGGAGATAAAAGCAATAAAATATTGGAAATGAGGTAAAATTGTATACTTCGTAAGACAAGTAATGCTTTTGTTTGAGAGTAAATGAGGAGAAAAATAATGACAAACAGCAGAGGTAATCTAAGATAGTAAAACAAGGAAAGAGCAATCAAACAGATTTGGCTGCAAATCTTTTCTACCACATACAAGTAGCTGCACTTTCCATGTAACCTTCTTCCATTGTGCCTCAGTTTTCCCATCTTTTTACATAACTAGTAATGATGCTAACCTCCTAGTATCATTTCCACCTAGGAAACTGCTTGACATATAATAAGAGGTAGTTAGTATTTAGCTTCCTTTAATGAATGCATAAAGGTGAATATTGTGCCTACTTTCAAAAGCAAAGCATGTCTAGTTCAGTGTCTGTGGCCTAGTCAATGTATCTTTCATGTTGAGGAAACCCCATACGTTATCAATAGGCTGGCTGTAAAGCTTATGGCCCAGTGCTAGTATGTATTGAGAGTGGCTACCTAAAGTGAGACAGATTTTGTAGTAAAATTTGGTAGAATTTATTGGAATTTAGAAAATATAATTATACTTTCAAAATCTTTTTTTTGTTTCTTTATAGTTTTTTATGTTTTTCTCCAAACTAGGATTTTAAGAGTGGACTTGGTATTACCATAATTCCTATGAATGTAGCAAATGTAAAACAAGTGGACCGAACTGTGAAACAGTCTTTTGAAATAATCACTCCCTATAGGAGTTTCAGGTAAGCTATTTGTAAACATTTTGTGTTCGTACTGCTATAGGAAAGCTTGGGTGATCCACCTTTATGTTGTTCGTGGTGATTTTTCTCTTGTAGGCCATTTAAAGTTATCTTCCTGCTTTTCCATATTGTCTAATTCATTAGCCGCTATGTAAAAACACCTTGTAAAAGTGACCTGGATAATCACAAAACATGCAAAAATATTTATTTCATGAAATTTGAGTAATTTCTTAATACATAATTTTCTTACTGGGCATGGTGTATGTTAATTTTTTGAAAACAAATGTGTGATAATTTCCTTCTCATTTAGAAGAAATGAAATAAAAACATATTACATTGTCTTTAAGTTGTATTGCTGTTTATCTTCTTTTAGCCTGATCAAATACAATCCCTCATTTAAAAATCAATTCCTAATTACATTTGTTCCATATGATTTCCTCCAGGGACTCCAGCTTCAAATGATACTAAATTTTATGAATCTCTTAGCACCTATTGATCGAAATATTTTAGCATTTTTTATATATCTTGTATTATGGTATTCTACTAACTGTATCATTATGACAATGAAACAGATAATTTAAAGTACTTAATATGTTTTAATAAACTAAAATGACTCTATAGTTTTAATATACAGAAGAGGCATAAGTCAACATCTTTTGAGTTCATCTATATTAATTAGTTTGTTATAAATAATCACATCACAGAGTAGTGTGCAAGTCAGAGGCGATTGTTCTAGGCCTTTAAAGGACTAACAATTAGGAATTTCAAAGATACTATCAAGTGTGTTACTCATTTTGCCTGTTAAACTATATCCATTGCCTCAAATTTTGAGAAAGAAATGATTGCATAAAAATAACAAGCTTTATTTTTACATTTGCAGATTCTAGCCAAAAAAAAAAATATAGATATTAATATATTGTCTGTGACAAATTTCTAGTAGAACCAGAAACAAAAAAAAGTGATGGAATCCTAAAGAGCTTCAAAAAGTATAATTCATGTAGGCCATTTATTTTTATGGATTATTTAGAATATGTTAGCTGTGATTTTCATTATATTTCAAAGCATTTTCCTCTTTACAAAAGAAAATTTTAATATGCATCAGTTTTGTGGGTCATTGACCGAGTATGTAGCACTGTAGCACGTTCCTTTGCACATTGTAGGGGCTCAGTAAATATTTCTTGAAGGAATGAACTGCTGTTTAATGTTTTTATTCGTTCACTTGAGCTCCCAGTAAACATTAAGATTCAGAATAAATCAGAACGTGGCTAAAAATGTGTTAGAAAACTGTTAGAATGGTAACCACTTAAAACTTTTTTGATTTCCCAGTTTCTTAGAACCATCTGGGCATTCTTCTAATTAAAAAAAAAAAAAGAGAGAGAGAATCTATTCTTAAGTTTGGAAAAAAAGTCACAATTTCTGGTGGGTGTTTTTGATAACATAGCTTCAGACTATCATGGCATACTTGCTTGGCAAAATATTCCAGTAGCCCTGAAACTCTGCCAATAAACTCTTATTGATGATTACATAACCATTGCTTAGGAAACATAGCCTCTTGTTTAGACTTGTGACCTAACAAGGCAAATTTTATGTTTTCTTTGGAAAATGTGTATGTTAATTTTGGTTCAAGATGCGTAAACAAAGACATAAGCAATGTGGAAAATTAAAAGGAAAAAAACCACGATTTGTTGAGTTAAATGATTTTTAACAGAAAAGACAACCCAGAGCTGCCTAGCAGGCATATTTTTCAGCTGTTGTTTAATTTGTGAGTGAAATGAATATGCAAACTGAACATACTGCTTAATTGGCCTTTACAAGGGAGATCGATAACACAGAAACGTTGTTTCAGCTTTACAGCCGAGACTGAAAAAGAGAAACAAGACTGGATTGAAGCTGTGCAGCAATCAATAGCAGAAACTCTCTCTGATTATGAAGTAGCTGAGAAGATTTGGTTCAATGAATCCAACAGAAGCTGTGCAGATTGTAAAGCCCCGGATCCTGACTGGGCATCCATCAATCTCTGTGTTGTCATCTGTAAGAAGTGTGCAGGTAATTAGTGATAAGTTTTGCTCATCACTGCTTTGTGGCAGACGGACACTGAATGCTCTTCATTGTTATATATTATATATCGTAGCTAATGGTTGTGAAAAGTAAAACCAGAGAAAGCTTATTACATTTAAATCAAATTCAGAAATAGCTTATGAGTCTAAACTTCTCTTATGTATGACTTAGATATAAAAATGGATTTTTAAGCATGTAATCATATTTTGTGCCTACTGGTCAATGTATAGATTTGAAAAAGGCAATGTTGAAATTTCTAGATTTTAGGTAAGTATGTTTTAGTATGCATCCTGAACAAGCTTGCATCTTTAACTTGAAGATTCGTCCACCTTTCCCCAGTCATTTTTGGTAACACGTATTTTTCACCTCAATGTTGTTTTGAGCACTAAACTTCATATGCCAGATCTGGTATCTCTTATAATAAGAATTTTTATAAAGAAGCACTTCACAACACTATTGATGTTTATGAATACAAACCGGTACTATGACTGGTTTTCTTCTTGCGACCTCACGCCTGACAACCTGACCTCTCCGTGTATTTGAGAGCTCAGACAGTTGCCCAAGTCAGTGGAAGGAAGTGGACCTCAGCTTAGGTGTGTGATCATGGAAGTTTTGGAGAAAGTTAACCACAGTCTAAACTTCAGTTCTCTTGGACTACCTGTGTCCCACCACCTTCTCCCTCAGTGTCTTTACACACACACACACACACACACACACACACACACCGCACACACACACAGAGAGAGAGAGAGATGCACACACACACACACACACACACACACACACCTCAAATGCCAACAGAGAGAGAGAGAGACGGAATTGAAAACATGTATAAGACATGACATTTCCTTCACGATAATGAGACGAATGAATGTTGGACTAGAGTTGAATACAGGCTTCAGTGAGAACGCTGGAGAGGAGCGCCTACCTCAGCTAGAGTGCAGTGAGTAGTGCAGCCCCAGGAGTCGCTTCAGATCCTGAACACTTTTCTAGAGCACTGTTCAACTGCATTTCTCATCAAACTAAGATTTCCTCACCAGCTAATTAATAATATCAATCACAACAAAAAATGCCCGTGAATCACCTTCTACTTTGTATTTTATCCCATCTTTTTCTTCTCTCCAGTTTCATTGGAAGAGACGGCCTTTGTGCTCTTCACAGTTGCTTTTTTCTACCTTTGCTTCCTTTCTTTCCTCCCTCCTTAGGATACCACTTCATCACTTATTCACTCTCTTATGTAAGTATTCAGCTATGGCTTCTTTTGTTTCATTGTATAAACTTGCACAAATTTGTCTCGTTAAACCATCAGGATTTCTGAAAGTTACCCATTTCCTTCTATGTGTCAATCTCTGTCCCCTTTTCCTTTCATAGACAGGATGTTATAAAGAGTTGTAGTGTGCATAGGTTTTTTTCATTCCTTTAACTTCCTAAGTTTTCTTCAGCATTCTGTAATCAGCTACCTTTTCACTCAACTGCCGTAAAAATCTTTTCACTACATTTACCAATGTATTTTACCTCTCAATTTCGGTGTGGTCACTTACTATCTTTATTATTGTCTCTTTATTTGAGACTCTTGACAACATGTCTCTCTGTGACATCCATCCTCCCTTGGCTTCCAATATACCATTCGCTCTGTATATTCTTATTACCAATCTTTTTTTCCAGGTTGCTTTTCATGCTTGTGAGATACATGTGTTCCCTTGGGTTACATGCTCACTTCTCTTTTACTGTGTTGCTGCTGAGTGATGTTATTTATCACTTTAGTTCCACACTCATTTTTAAGCAGATGATTCTCACGCTGTTGGACACCAAACTCTTATGATTATATGCCTACTAGAATCTCTACTTAGATTTGCCAAATACACCTCAAATGTAACATGTCAAAAATGGAGCAGTTTTCATCAAACTGCACATTTTCATACCTTCTCAATCTTGGTCAGAAGCAATACTGTCTACGCTGCACTCTCAAAGCCTAAAATCTGAGACACCTTCTTGACTCTTCCTCTTTCCTTCAAACCCACCAAGTCTCATTCATTTTATCTTATCAACCTCTCTCAATCTGTCGGCTCCATTTTGTTTTCCTGCTGCCTCAACTCAGAATCTGTCATGCCTGGGTTACTCCAGCAACCCCTTTCCTCTCTTCCTACAGGCTTTTACGTTTTTACCTTCTGGGTACTGTATTGCCTGTAGGTAGTCATTATAAATGCAAACCTATGCAGTTTTTTTCCATGGGAATCTAGGGCTTTGTGCTTTAAGTAGTTTCTACCAAAAAAAAAAAAGACAAGAACCTCTTACCTATTGTAGGGAAAGGAATGACTATTCATTGTTCATTAGGCTAAGGGCCCTTAAGATCAAGGATAGTGGACTGTATACTTTTTTTCCTTCTCAGTTTTGAAATAATCTGACATAGCCTGGTTGCTCAGTGATGACTGAATGATGATTTACACAGCACAATTGAATTGACAGTAATAAAATTCTGGGCTCTTACTCTCTTCCAGACATACTTGTTGAATAAAGTATTCATGTCAGATTTTTAAGGACACACTTATTAGACATGTAACTAGTTTTACAATAGTCAAGTTTTCGTAACAGTAAAGAAATATTATCTGCATTTACATACATGTGGTTTTAGCAAGCTTTACAAAAGGTTTCCAGTGGCCCATTTCTAGCTGATTACCAAATGAGGAAATATTTATACATGTATCTGTACATATGCACACATGCACATAAATATATTTTTAAGTGTAGTTTTTTTATCAGTGCAGATGCTGATGATGATTGCTGCTGTTTTTATTGTAGCCAGCTGTAATTTGTCTAATTCCCACTACTATTGTTAGTGCTCTTGTCATCTTGTCATTGAGGAAAGCAGGTATGGGTGTGTTTTAAGTTGAGAAGATACGCAACGAACATACACAGACATATACACTTTTTTTCAAAACAAAGTAAAATAAATTTACATACAAATTAAAATAGAAATGCAATTGTATTTTGACTCTAGGCCAGCATAGATCTTTGGGACCAAAAGATTCCAAGGTTAGAAGTCTAAAAATGGATGCTAGCATTTGGAGCAATGAACTCATCGAGGTGAGTCTTATTTAACCTGAATGGGGTTGTGGTAGGGGTTCAGTTTGCAGAGACTGGGAAGAGGTATGCCATGGGGTGTGGTGGCAGGTATTTTTCTCAGGGCTCTTTGATAAAGTTCTCATTACATTATGAAAAAGGCTTATAGACTTTTTAATAGCAACTCTTTGAGAATGCTTCCTAAATGAGATAGTTATTTTAAAAGTAAAAGTATAGATGATCTTAATAATAATAATAAGGACTTAGAAAGGTTTGCCAGTTTTTTTTTTATGCTGGAACTATGTGTGTGTGTGTGTGTGTGTGTGTGTCTGTGTGTGTGGGTCTGTGTGCATGTGTGTGTGTCTGTGTCTGTGTGTGTGTGTGTCTGTGTGTGTGTGTGTCTGTGTGTGTGTGTATGTGTGTGTGTGTCTGTGTGTGTGTGTATGTGTGTGTGTGTCTGTGTGTTTGTGTCTGTGTGTGTGTGTATGTGTGTGTGTGTGTTTGTGTCTGTGTGTGTGTGTGTCTGTGTGTGTGTGTGTGAGTGTCTGTGTGTGTGAGTGTCTGTGTGTGTGTGTGTGTGTGTGTCTTAAACCCAGCATGGGTAAAATAATAGGAGAGTGAATGAGAACATTTGGAAAAATTTATTGTTCTATACCTTGGCCATACTCTGTCATTAACTGTGATCGAGGCTGCTTTGCTGGGTCCTGTCCATTTTCAGCTCCTGTTCCACCACCAAGCACTTTAGACAGCATTAGCCCACCTACTCGGCCATTTAAAGTGAATCTGTCTCAGTTGGAGTGTCAAAGAATGAAAATACTTTTGTTACTATTTGTGTTGTTTGCAATTCTTTACAAGCTAATTTCTTTCCATTATTTAGAGTGGCTAGGCTGTATTCAAAACTGATCATAGTATCTGCTTTCACTCCTTTTTCTGGAAGAGTTAGGTCTGTCAGTTGTTTTCCTGTACTTTATACTAAGTTATGCTTTAATTTGTAATATAATTCAGTTTCCTGCAGATTCAAATACCTTTTATGAACTGATATATTATGGGTTTTTTTTTTTTTTTTTGACAATTCAGCTTTTTATTGTCATTGGAAACAAAAGAGCAAATGACTTTTGGGCTGGTAATCTTCAAAAGGATGAAGAATTACATATGGACTCACCAGTAGAAAAGAGAAAAAACTTTATTACTCAGAAATATAAAGAAGGAAAATTCAGAAAAACCCTTTTGGCATCTCTCACTAAAGAAGAATTAAATAAGGTATTCAGTTAAACATAACAGGAGACATGGATTTTAATGTCTTTTTAATGATGTGCCAAGATTCTTGAGAAAAAGTAAAAAGTCTTATACTATGTGACAAAATTATTTATTTTATTTCCTTTTGTGAGATTATTTCAGTGGTTTCCCCCTTGTTTTACTTAAGGATTCATTGTCAAAAAAGCGTAATTCTTCCTCCATAACTGAAGTTTCCTGCTAACTCATGGTGCCACAATCTGAGGAGATATGGAAGCAAATGGGGATCCAGTAAAGTGAAGTCTGAGGACTGATATAATGTGGGAAGAAAGGATGAGAAGTGATGTAGAGGCAGCTTATTACTTCAAGGCAAAAGAAAAAAAAATTCTAGCAATTCCTATTGTTTGTACAAAGATGATATATAACATAAGTAAATCATATTTTTTATTGCCTCTTTCTCACTGTTCTTCCTCCTTCCTATCCTCGGCCCCTGAGGGGAAGATCCTGAATTTGCTTTGCACTCATCTTTCAATTTCTCATAGCACTTAATAATTCAAATATTCTGCAGCTCCTGATTAGATTGGAAAATATATATTAACATTCATATGAAAAACACTTAATGGTTACTTCATTATTATATTGAAATATTTTGATTCTCTGCGCATCAGTCATTATCATAGTATGTAAGCATAAAAATGTCTTCCAAAGCAAGTATGATGGATTAGGTTTAGAAGGAACATCATAGCAACCAAACAATGAATTGAGACTTGGAGGTCTTGGGTTGTAATTTAAATTCACACAAACCAGGCCTTTTGTGCCTATTGCCTAATTCATGGCATAATCATTAGTAGCTGCCTTAGGATAAAAGGAATACAGACTTTATCCCATACATGAATTGTCAGACTTTCACTCATTTTAATAGCTAGAATCTTTTCTTTCCTTAAGATGTGTATTTTCTTTTAATGACCAGGCTCTGTGTGCTGCTGTAGTGAAACCAGATGTTCTAGAAACAATGGCTTTGCTGTTCAGTGGAGCAGATGTCATGTGTGCCACTGGAGACCCCGTGCATAGCACCCCCTATCTGCTAGCCAAGAAGGCTGGGCAGAGTCTGCAAATGGAATTTCTCTACCATAACAAATTCTCAGGTTTGTCACTGTCTCTTCATTAACCTGGTCTCTTCCGATATATCCGTAAAAGGACTGAAGCATAAATCTATTTATTTTTCAAATAAGAGAATCCATCAGAATGAAGAAAAATGCAATTACTCAAAAGATGGAGGGGCCTAAGACTATTTTTTATATCATTTCAATAAAAAGTTTAGGAAGTCAATCTTTTATATTCCTTTAATCTTATAAATGGAAGATTAAAATAGCTAACCCACATAATCATTTCCACCAACATTAAATCCGATTTTCATATATGAATAATAAACATGACTTAAGTGCTTATTTGCAAATTTTATGCAAAGTAAAATAAATATCTCTTTATAATTATTCTTTGGTAAATTTTAGGTAGTTTTTCTTCTAGCTCAAAACTCATGTACATATTATAAGCAAAAGGAAAATTGTTTATATTTTAGATATTTCTTTAATTTTTCTAGATTTCCCTCAACACGATATTCATTCCGAAGGTGTATTAAGTCAAGAGTCTTCCCAGTCCACATTCCTCTGCGACTTTTTGTATCAAGCTCCTTCTGCTGCTTCTAAACTGTCTTCAGAGAAAAAACTGCTTGAAGGTATTTTTTTCTGTTCCTTTTAGATATTATCTGATAAAAACTTTATTCCATTATCAAAGCAATTAGGTTTAGATTTTGATTTTTTGAGATGTTAGATTTGATCTCCAAGTAGAGATATTTTTGAGGATTTATAAACGCTTCTAGGTACAAATATTATTCCATATACTGCAGCAGGGATTTACCATTGGGTTGGAATGCTGAGTGAATTCTCAACAGAATTCACTGATATCTACCTTAAGGCTAACCAATTCTGTTTCAGGTTATAAAGGTTATTCTGACAAAAAAAAAAGGTGAAACTCAGCCCCTTTCCTTGGGGATGGACACCCCAACTGGCTCACTAGATAATGCAGATAAATGTGAACACATAGGAAGAAATGACAAGTTTTTAGTACATATTCAATTAGAGTACTAAGTAATATCAAAAAGTTCACTTTTTTTTTTCTGATGAAAAGTGTGTGTGTCTGTGTGTGTGTTTAAGTAAAATGAAACTTAAACTTGATTTCAAAAAGTGGTGAGAATCTGATTTAAGAACATATTCTAGGTTTGGGGAATTATCTGAGCAGAGTCACAATGGGGCATTTATTCATTTATCCTTCCAACTCCTTGTGTCAAACTGATGCTAGGTATTGGGAGTTTAAAAATGACTAAGACACAGCCCTTATGCTCATGTATATACATTGGAACAAATCTGAGAAATATAGGCAGGAAAATATAATGCAATCTGCCTTACTAGAACAAAGAGTGTAAGAGAGATTTAGCTGTACCTGCCAGTTGATGGTGGCCATTGATAGGCTCCGGAGCCTAGCATTAATTCAGTAGGTGATATAATTCAGCTATATTACTCAATCAAAAGAACTATAGAATGACAAACTCACTGTAGAGTGTTAATCCTCATATATGTAATTTGCAGTTCTTATTTCAATATAAAAGCTTTATTTCCATATATATATATATAAAACATGTAATATATCCTGAAGCAGAATTATATTGAGATTAACTATATATTATTAGATTTTCCTGAAAAGAATAGCTGTCCTATAGTGAGTGAGCATGTATTATGTGTAAGGCATGGCTTTAGGTACTTTACATACATTAATTATAATCCTCATAAAAGTCTGCAAGATCATTGATGTTATGTCGATTTTTACATGAACAATGAAGCTCAGCATGAAGCAGAAGTTTACACCTGATTTGTGTTCTCATTGTTACAGTAGCACTTTAGCTTTGGTCAAGGTGTGACAGCCAGATGACAGTAGAATGGCAGAGCATTTTTATCGTTTGAATTAGGTGTTTTTGATTCTTTCGACAATTGGTTTTTGTCATCCTATACTCAGCCTAGCCAATAATAAATGTCAGATTTTACTGTTTTTGTTGTTTTGTTTTATTGTCTTCCACTTTTACTGTCAGTATTATCCCTAAGTAGTTAAAAGATAAGCGATCAGAAGATGAAAGTTCTTGGACACTCTGTGAATTGACTCTATCAATCATCAAAATAATTAAAGTACTTAAAAAAATGTTTAGAAGAATGTTTCTTCTAAATACTCGGATATCACAGACTCATTCTTCAGACCAGATTTATAAAGATCAAATGGGGATTAAAACACAAGATTTTCTTCCCAAGACTTTTCAATATATTGTAAGCATTCTATAGGTTAAAAATAATCTTTATATTATTTTTGACAATTGTGGTTATCATATTTGTAAACTTACCAGTCTTCTTTAATATTTTCTTGAAACAGATTGGTTTTTAAATTTACTTGAGTACTACATTGATGTAATAAACAATTGTAACTAAACAATTCCATTTTTTGTATATTAACTATGGATATTTGGTTAAAATTTATTTTAAAAAAGAAATGGGTGCATTATCTATATATGTAATTTACGGATATTTTTCCATTTTAAAACACTATCTTTTAGGTAATATGAAAGTTAGCTTCTGTATTTTTTCTATATAGTACAATAGCAATGATTTTAATGAAAATAATTTGGCAGGGTATTCTTTGATTGTCTTAATATCTTTCATCCAATTTACCAGCAAGTTCTATCACTTCAAACTCAAAATAGATCTTGAAGCAGTTGGCTACTCTTCATTTCCACTGATGTCCTTCCAACCACAGTAACCATCCTGACCTACCTATGCTGCAGTGCCTTCCTTAATTGTCTTTCTATATTTACCCTAGCTTCCCTTCAAAACTGTCTCCAAAAAAGAGGCTTATCTTTTTTGTTTCCTTCCTTCCTTCCTTCCTTCCTTCCTTCCTTCCTTCCTTCCTTCCTTCCTTCCTTCCTCCCTTCCTCCCTCCCTCCCTCCCTCCCTTCCTCCCTTCCTTCCTTCCTCTCTCTCTTTTCAGATGAAGTCTTGCTCTATCGCCCAAACTGGAAAGCAGTGGCACAATCTCCGCTCACTGCAACCTCTGCCTCCTGGGTTCAAGTAATTCTCTTGCCTCAGCCTGCTGAGTATTTGACATTATAGGCACCCACCGCCACACTCAGCTAATTTTTGTATTTTTAGTAGAGATGAGATTTCACCATGTTGGCCAGGCTGGTCTTGAACTCCTGACCTCAAGTAATCTGCCTGTCTCAGCCTCCCAATGTGCTGGGATTACACGCGTGAGTCATTGCGCCTGGCCAATTATCTTTAAAAATGGAAATCACCCAGGTAGTCAGAAGGCTGGGATAGGAAGATTGCTTGAACGCAGCTTGGGCTACATAGGAAGATCATGTCTTCTAAAGGTCAACAACAACAACAAACAAACTGGAAAACTGAACATGTAATTCCATTGCTCAAGTCTAGTGGCTCCTCACTCCAGAATATAACCTTATTTTTTATTGTGACCTAAAAGACCTTTTTAGTAGAATGGCGTGAACCCGGGAGGCGGAGCTTGCAGTGAGCCGAGATCGTGCCACTGCACTGCAGCCTGGGAGACAGAGCAAGACTGTGTCTCTACATGGTTACTTGCCTGGCTGCACTGGTTTCCTCCCTATTCCTGGAACATGCCAAGTCCTTTTCTGCCTTTTTTGGTCCTTTTCACCTGCTGTTCCCTCTGCAAAGAGGGCACTTCCCCCAGTCTGGTTACTTTTTATTCAGGAATCAATTCAGTTCCCCCTAGTTAGTGAGGCCTCTCTGACACCCTACTAATGTGTGAACCCACTGCCAGCCCTTCTTGTTCATAGGATGCTGTGTATATTCGTCCTACCACTGATCACATGGAGATGTGCTGTTTCCATTTATTTGTTTCTCTTTCCTCCGAAGTGAACGCTCAATGAGGCATCAGCTTTTTCTAGCTTGTCAAGGATTATCAAATCTTTGATACCCAAAACAGTTTCAGCACATGGTAGGACATGATAAATATTTGTGGAATGATAGAAGAATCATTTTTTAGGAAAGTTACCACTAGTGTAAATGGATGACTCATATGTCAATAATTTGGTTTTGATCTGTGGATAAAAAGATATAATTGCTGGCACAAAGCATATTTTGTGCAGAAAGCCCCTACTTACAAATGAACAGGAAAAGTTGAACTGTCCAGAAAAACTTCTGTATTTGTTTCTTTTTCTCCCTTGAAGTTTGTGCAATAGTGTTGTTTCTGTTGAACATCAGATTTATGAAAAAAATGAATTATTTGGAAAGATTTAGAGATTAAAGTGTGGTTGTCACCTTTGCCTCTGAAAGCAAGCACTTGGATGCTACCACTCCATCAGCACTTGTCAGGACAGCCATAGAACAAAATGATTAAAAACAGAGACAAAAGTCTGGGAATAAAATGCATGCAGTTCCAGAGTTTCAGAGGCTTCAAATTGTCAGTTCAGGTTTTCGAGATTTGAAGTTTTTCTAGCCTCTGGTTATGAAGACTGATCTGTATTTTTCTTTTTTTTTTTTCCTTTTCAGTTTAGTGTTCATGAAAAGAAAGATGGATTGCTTTTGTTGAGCCTAAGCACAGAGTTGAATAATAGCATCCTGGTTTTGTTTTCCCTTTTCCCACCTCGACCATATTTTTTCCCTTGATATCTTACCTTGATTTGTTTACACAGTATTCGATTTTTAAAAAGAAAGTGGTTGTTTTGGATTACTAGAAATTATATTTCTGTCTGTTTATATTTAACTTTGTGGATTAACATTGAGGAATTTTGAAGATCTTTTGTTCTGTGAAAGCCTAAATTGTATAGCTTAAACATGTTTTTCCAAGGCTAAAACACATGTCTTTTAAATGAAAAGGATTACTAACATATATTACTGTTCGTAGTGGGTGTTGAATACTATTAATTTAGGAAATTTCTCATCATGAAACAAATTCATAGTTTCAAAAAATAACAGTTTTGCCTTAACTACCTCAGATGTATTGTATACATATGTATTAGAAGGTATTACTTCTTTACCCTAATACATTTTTGAGATGAATGTATATAGTTCAAGCATTTAACAGATACAGTGAGTAACTGTGTGCAGGCGCTAAGAGGGTGGCTTCCAGAACCCACCTGCCAGTGAGGTTAAAACAGCAACTTTCAGAACCCAATTGCCTAGGGTTCCTTCCCCAACTCTGATGCTAAGTACTTAATGTGACCTCAGGAATGTCGATTAACCTGTTATGTGCCAGTGAAAAGGGTACAAGGAAGGGGCATAATATAACTGACATAACTGGGTTGTTGTGAGGATTCAATGAGTTAAAGCATGTAAAATGTGTAGAACAGTGCATGGCACATAAATATGATGATGATGATGAAGAGGAGCACTGAAGAGCTTATGTTTAAGCACAGTTGCCCCTGACTTCCAGTTAGCCTTTGAGTTTAGGTATGTTGTCCTGTGGGCTGTAGCCGACATTTACGGTATCCAACTATATTATGTCTATCATTCCGTGGTAGCATTTCAGTTGGTCACCTCTGGGGAATTCTTTACCTGTGCTTGGGTAAATCCTGTAGTAATGTTTTTCTTCACTGATCTCAACATGAAGATTGAATAGAAAGAATGAATAACCCCTCTTGCCAGTCCACTAAATTTACTTGCATCCTATAAGCTCCTATTTATGGAACAGCTGACGCCTGAGTGTCATTCATTCTGTGGTCACAGTTTTATGTTGGTAAACAGCTTCCTTTAACAATTAAAATGACTTGTGGAGCAAAGAGGGTTTCAAGGAGGGTACCGACATTTCTCAAAGTCAGATTTAGGAGTGAATATCTAAATTAGCCCAGGCAGACCAGCATCATACAACATAATCTTGCTGAACCTTTTCATTGCTTCCCATATCAATGGGAATGTCACGATTTCCTGCCACAGCTTCATTATTATAAATCCTCAAAGACAATATGTGTGCCTGCCTTGTCTGACTTCTAGCCCATTTCACTTACAAAAATAAAGCTAAGAAATGGTTACAGAAATGAGAAAGCTACAGGACTAACTCTCCTCAAGCTTATAATTCTAACTGAAAATGAGTTTGTACATACCATTTTAAAGAGATGTGTCATTTGTTTCCCATTAGAATTTACATAATGAGATTCTGCAGTCACATTTATGTTATGCTTAATTCATTTGGCACTGTTTGTTTAAGACCTTCGAATGGCTCCCACTTGTCTAAGTGAGAGAGGCACAAACTCCTGAACACCTGTCAAGTGAGACTCTTGGGGTCTGGCCTCTGCCGTGAACCTGCAATCTTGTTTCCCATTTCCCAACTTCACATGTAATCTGATTCTCTGGGCACATAGGGTTTCTGCAGTTTGACCTTTCTATGACTTTCTTCTTACTGTTCTTTCCTGATGCTATGGAAGGATTGTGGCTCTGAATGCTTTTTTTGCTACTTTAGAAACATGCCTCCTAAATTATGAGGGATTATTTTATAGACTTTTTTTTCTTTGCAGTTTTTTTTTTTTTTTTTTTTAATCACTTCAATATGAGGGGTGGCTTACCTCCTTGAATGCTTCTAATCTACTAAAGAGACAACCTGCTGGTGATCATTTTGAACGCGTCTCCCCTTTCATTGGATTACAAGCTGCCTGAGAACAGGGGTGGATCTCCTAATCTATGACAGTGATTAACTATGCACTGAATAATTGTGCATTTTTTATTTATTCTCTTATGAGGATTCTTCTAGACATCTGAGTGCATTGCTTTGAAATTACTTCCAAACTCCCTTTGATTAGTATTTTGACTTTATCTTTTCTTATATTTTAGAAACTCGCAATGAATGTTCATTTAAAAATTGCGGCTTTTCACGATTTTTATCTAACTGTGTAGGACGTACACTGTGACTCAGGATTTGAGGGCCCTGGAATTATATATCACTTTGACCAGGAATTGCTTTGGTCTCTGTTAGTTTTCTTTTCCAGTGCCCATAAAAGATTCGTTTATGCTATTTGCTTCTACCAGTTATGATTGGACTTTCCATTTGGTAATTCGTTTTCAGAGTACTGTGTCCTATCTAGCTCTTTAGGTGTCACCATTTTGATTGTTACTCCTTGTGATTGTTTTTTGAAGCCAAATACATTATCTTGTTTTCTTTCATGTCACCCCCACACCCACCTAAGATTCTGATAATATGCTGAAGGAAAAATTTGAAATTAGTTTAATATATTCTTAAGCTTTTAAATTAGTTTGACTAATAATTTGAGACTTACAGAAAATTTCTAAGAATAGTGCAAATAATACTCATATACCTTTTGCCCAGATGTATCAATTATTAACATTTTACATTTGCTGTATTTTTCTGTGTATGTGTATATATATGCCTATGTATAATACACATACATATGTATCATGTATGTATATACGGGTACATATTTATCTCATACTTTCTTTATATGCACACTTAAAAGTAAGTTGCAGACATGACACCTCTTTACCTTTAGTAGTTCAGTATGTATTTCTTTAGAAGAAGGGCATTTATAAATAATACCCTAAAGTAACCACAGAACAGTAATCCAACTTCAGAAATTATCTAATATATAGACTTTCTTCATTATATCAAATATATAGACCTTAGTAGTCTTAGTGTCTGTAGATCGAATCTATATTTTAGGTGATGGTCTGATTTAGCCTGCAGGTGGTAGTGTGCTGACTTCCGTATAAAATGAATTTGAAATCTTCTGAATAAGCATTAAGGGCCCTGCAGATTCTGACCCTTCTTCTTTTGTATACCTACCATAAGCTGCAGTCTCACTTTTTATGCTACATTTTTTTTTTTCCTTTTAATACTCTGTACAGACATTTCATTCTCTACAGCTTCAGAGTTGTTTTTCAACAACCTCTTTATGGCTCTGCCTTCTCTGGTCATCAACGTCACAGCCATTTTTGTTTTATACATTCCTTGCTACTAGATTGTAAATTCTTTGGAGAGCAGAGAATATGACAACTTTATATCCCACGCAGCAATGTCATATACTTTATGTGAAATAGGCAATTATTAAATGTATTTACTTGCATCCAACCATTATTTAGAAGCATGTATTTGTTTTTAAAATTGGATTCGTGATTAGCTCAATTTGTTATTTGTTTTGTTTCAAATTCTTAGAGACAAATAAAAAATGGTGTGTTTTGGAAGGAGGCTTCTTGAGTTACTATGAAAGTGATAAGTCTACCACACCTAATGGCACCATTAATATCAATGAAGTTATCTGCCTGGCTATACACAAAGAGGACTTCTATTTAAATACTGGGTAAGTCTATCTTTACACAATTAGGGGGTAAAATGTATTTTCAGATAATTATACCGGCTAATGAGAGTTTTGTTATTTTAGTTCTTTAGTTGCTTCTAATAGAAGGGTTGAATGGTTTTTGAAGCTTACTTACCTTGCACTTTTGGAAATTTCTTTTGGGAATTCACTATAAAGCAGGAAAACTAAAATATTTACAGTAGGTAATATGAAGTGCTAACATGTTTGAATCAAATCTTTATGTATTTTTTTTTTTTTTTGAGATGGAGTCTCACTCTGTCACCCAGACTGGAGTGCAGTGGTGTGATCTCGGCTCACTGCAACCTCCGCCTCCTGGGTTCAAATGATTCTCATGTCTCAGCCTCCTGAGTAACTGAGATTGCACATGCCACCACACCTAGTTAATTTTTATATTTTTAGTAGAGATGGGGTTACACCATATTGATCAGGCTGGTCTCAAATTCCTGACCTCAAGTGATCTGCCCATCTCGACCTCCCAAAGTACTGGGATTACAAGTGTGAGCCGCTGTGCCTGGCCAAATCTTATGTAAATGTATAGCATATCATTTATGACCATTGTAGTCATTTAATTTTTTTACTTATTATTTAAAATAGTGTACTAGTGGTAAAATTCATTTATCAATTTAATGAGTATCATAATTAAAACAGATAAGAAAGGAGAATATTCTGTGACGATCTATTCACATTAAAATAAACTATTTAATAGTATATTGAAATGCTAAATTTCTTAAAGATATATTTGTTAATTTAATGGTCAGAAAAAGTCACAATGAATAGATTAAGCATTATTTATGTAATATATTTGACTCACCTATACTATAGTTTAAATAAATATCCGTGAAGACTTTAAAAGCAGGCCCCTAAGATCTTTGGTGTGAAAGTATCTTATCATGTTTTTTGATGTAATTAATGAAAAACATTGACATTAAAATCTGAAAAAAATCAGTTTTATAGGAGCATAGATTTTAAATAAGATTTTTATGTGAGAAAGGGAAGAGATTTGCAAAGCTCTTATTTACATAAAACTATATTGAACATATTACCTTTATTTTATGATGACTAATTGAGATGACTTGTTTTCTAGTAAATCTGATTTGATTTATGATGTGAACAAAACTGATTACTAATTGACTTTTGTTTTAATCTTAATAGTGTTTTACCCTAAATGATTATTCAATGTAATATGACTTATGGAATGTTAAAATAAGTGAATTCTATATATTAAATTACTAATTAGTAAATGAAATATAACAAATATAATTAATACTAGTTTATGTCAGTATATTAATATGTTAAAAATAAAATATTCTTGATAACATATGCTGATACAAGTAGATATGCAAAGAGAAAGTATCTACAATGAGATGCGGTTAAAAAATAATTGTTGCCATAATATTCTTGCTGAATTGCCTCAAATAGCACATTGGAGAGTATGACCTCAATAATGTAGGCACTGAAGAGTTATATAGACATATTTTAGGAAGAGAGCTGGAAGAAGTGGTAAGGAGATTGGAGGAAGAGAGACTGTAATTGTTGAGAATTTAACTAGAGGAAGAGAGTGAACTGATAAGATTAAAAGACTGACTGGACGAAGAGTTGATGTTAAGTGGAAGAATAAGTTACACTCAAGGGTTTTGAGCTTGTTGTGATGAGGTTGATTGTGATGCTTCTAAATTAGGACGTGAAGGAGATACAGCAGGCTTGGGATGGAAAAGAGGAGAAAGGAAGATGACTTTGGCGTAGGGTATTTTGAGATTTTTAGGTAACGGTAGCACACATACTTAGCGTGTGCTAAGAAATAAATGGAGTTGTGAATGAGGAACTCAGGAAAGAATTCAGAGCATGGTATGTTGCTTTAATGTTATCTAAAGTAAGAGTTAGAAATTTGGGGTAAGTTGAGATGATGAAAGGAACATTTATCTTTCTTACGAAAACTGTAAGAGAGTGTTAATGCTTCATGTGTTTGTGTTCTGGAGGGAACCTGCTGTATGACTGGGCCTATTTGAAATTAGACAAGAAGAGTATTAAAAACTGTTTGGGCAATGTTTGCTTTGAACAGTTGATCAGAGTAAATCAAGAAGGAGTGGTGAGAGAGGGAAGACCAGACCAAGGAGAGCCCTTTGCTACATCAGTCAACTGATGAGTGTCCAGGGCGTAAACAAAGTTACACAATAGAATGATTAAGTGATTATACAAAATATTCCTTTTGTCCAGTCCAGTGTGTTCCATTTACCTCATCTGAATAAAATGCAAACCATTAACAGAATCTGTTAGGATGATTTCACAACATTACTTTATTTTAAAAGGCATTTAATTAAAAACTTGACCTGTGTGCTATTTGTTTTCTTAGGAGCCAAACGTAACTGGTAGTATCTTTTTATTTGTGCATGTTTTAGGCCCATCTTTATCTTTGAGATCTACCTACCCTCAGAACGTGTGTTTTTATTTGGAGCTGAAACATCTCAAGCTCAAAGAAAATGGACAGAGGCAATAGCCAAGGTATTTAAATATTATGTTATTGCTCTAAATCCAGACAAGATTCTGAACTGGGAGTCTGTGTTTGAGCTTCAAGGGTCCATGAAAGTTTCATATAAGATTATAGGAATAAAGTTCATACTTCATTAGATTTTCAAAGAAAGTTGTCAAAAGAAGTAGCTACCTTCAGGAGCCTTAAGCAGGGAAGAAATTAAAGTAAAACTTGGAGAAATAATTATTCAAATTAAGGCCATGTTTTTGATGGTTAGGATATTCTCAATATTGTAAAGTCATTTCTGTGTGTGTCTTTTTATAGGTAGATATTTTATTCAAGGTATACACAAAGGAGAAAGGAGCAGATTCAGGAAAATATATAAATGGAGAAAAATGCTGAAGGTTGACATTTTGAAAAGTTCTACAAATCAATCAAGAGAATGTCTTGCGGTTTCAACTCTGTAGCAAGACAAGTGGTTTAAGATGCTGCCATTTGTAAATACATTATAGTTGTTCAGTTTTAAGACTGATAGCAAGTTAAATTGTTTTGAATTTGGTGTTACCTTTGAATCTTTAAAATAGAAAAACTAAGATAATTTGTCTACCCTCTCTCATATCTGTAGATAGGGAAGGGATTTCCTATTTTCACTGTCTTTATTACTTTTTTGTATTTGTTTTAACAGCATTTTGTTCCCTTATTTGCTGAAAACTTAACAGAAGCTGACTATGATTTGATTGGTCAACTCTTCTACAAAGACTGCCATGCCCTGGATCAGTGGAGAAAAGGCTGGTTTGCTATGGACAAATCCAGTTTGCATTTTTGCCTTCAAATGCAAGAAGTTCAGGGAGATAGAATGCACTTAAGAAGACTGCAGGAGCTAAGTAAGAGTTTTTTTCCTCCCTTATCTTTGGAACACTTTTCTTTGTTGCATACAATAGTGGTAGCCTTTACTAAAATCTTGATGGCTCACTCCCAAACTTATGACTAAGCAGTATTAATATTTGTGTCTTCATGCATGTTTATTGTAGGGTTTTAAAAAAAATAAGTTTTTGCTTTTGGTTCTCCCTTCAGCAATCAGCACAGTGGTTCAAAATGGGGAAAAACTGGATGTCTTACTCTTGGTAGAAAAAGGGAGGTAAGTGCCTTTTTGCTTTTTGTTCTTTATCTCAACAACTCTGGGCAGTGGGATTGTTTTGTTGTTATTATCTTGAGGGAGAAAATAATATTTTAAAACCTGTTGAAATTTTCTGAATCATATAAATATACATATATATAGTATATAGTCTTTCTTTGGAAAGACTATACCAATGATATTTACATATTTTTATAATTTTTATGACAGACTTATTGTGATCAATTATTGTATAATTTTCTATAGACCTAGATTCCTCTGTGACATTTACATTTAAGTATTTGGAAAGCAGTTTGGTAATTATAAATGTGTCTTCCTGGTAAGAATATGATGACTATAAATTGTATTCTGAATTATCTATGCGTATGGGTCACGCATAGCTAAAATTTGATCTCTTGAATTTATTCAGTTTTTTCAGTAACTAGTAAGCATCTACTGTGCATCAGGGACTGTTAAAGGTATTGGTGATATCATGATGAATAAAACAGACTAGTCCCTACCATCATGAAACATGTATACTATTAGGGAAAACAGTGTAAGCAGACAAAAATAATTATATGCTGTTCTGTCCATCAATTTTAAATTCTACGCAGAAAAATAAGTAATATAAAAATAGTCTGATGGGATAGTATCTGTGTTTGCTAGCTAAGAGAAGAAATATTGGATGAAAGATCTTCATAAAGTGAAAAAGTAAACTTTGCAGTAATCCAGATAGAGTATTTCAGGTGTAGGGCCAAGGGTATTTGAAGACTCTAAGAGTGTGTTGTACTTGGCATGTCCAGGTTCTGCAAGGAAGCTGTGGTGGCTGGGAATATTTGAATGAAAGAAAGGGTGGGAAGAAATGATTTCAGAGATACCCACAACCTTATCATAAAGGACCTTATCAGTCATGATGTGTAAAGATTTGAAATTTCATCAAATTATGATCGGAAGCTGCTCAGTCTGAGAGCTGGGAAGTAGAATGGTCTGATTTATGTTTTTACTGGATTACTCTGACTCCAGATGAACAAGCTTCTGGGGGATGAAAGTGAAAGTGGGTGTTTAGTTAGGATGCTGGCCGGGAAAGCAATGGCTTATCTGAGAATAGGAGTGGTTGGATATATCGTGAAGGTAGAGGTGTCAGGATCTGCTGATGGATTAGATAACTGTAAGAGTCAAGGATGATGCCAGAATTCTTGACCTGAGCAATTACTGAATTATGGTGCTGTTTTTTGAGAGAACAAATACTTGGAGCATAGGGGTAGGATATTCGTAAGTTTAAGACAGTAGATCAAGAATTTGGTTTTGGGAATGATAACTCAGAGATGTCTCTTTGGTGGCAAAGTGGATCTGGTGAGTAAGCAGTTGAATATGCGTGTCTAGAATTAAGTGAAGAGGTTATATCTGGAGATATAAATTTGGGAGTCACCACTGTGCTCATGCTATTTTGCTAAGGAACTGGACAGGTTCACTTAGTAGAGAGTGTGGATAGAAAAGAGAGTTGAAGATATAGCCGGAGGTCCTCCAATATGTAAAGGTCTAGAAGAGGAGATAATCAAGCAAAGAAGCCTGGGAAGGAGCAGCCGGGGACATACCAGAGCAATTAGGAAGACAATTTCTTTTATTTTTAATTTTGGATTCAAGGGGCACATATCTACATATGTGCAGGTTTGTTACATGGATATATTGTGTAGTGCTAGGGTTTGGGCTTCTATTGAGCCCATCACCCAAGTAGTGACCATAGTACCCAATAGGTAGTTTTTCAGCCCTTGCCCCCTTCGGTCCCCACTTTTGGAGTCCTCAGTGTCTATTATTTCCATCTCTATTTCCGTATATACTCATTGTTTATCTCACACTTATAAGTGACCACATGCAGTATTTGATTTTCTGTTTCTGTGTTAATTCACTTAGGATAAGGACCTTCAGCTGCATCCATGTTGCTGCAAAGGACTTGACTTCATTCCTTTTTTATGGCTGTGTAGTATTCCATGGTATATATGACTACATTTTCCTTAGCCTGTCAATCACTGATCGGTACTTGAGTTGATTCCACATCTTTACTCTTGTGAATAGTGCTGTGATAAACATATGGGTTCAGGTGTCTTTTTGGTAGAACCATTTTTTTTTTCCTTTGGATAGATACCTAGTAGAGGGATTGCTGGATCGAATGGTAGTTCTATTTGTAGTTCTTTGGAAAATCTTCAAACTGCCTTTCTTCTTCAACAAATTAGGTATTTTTTCCCCTTGGCTTCTTGTAATTTGCTTTAAAAAAAAAAAAAAAAACTCTTAATTATACTGGTTCAGTATGGTTTGCTTTATAATAGTGCAAGATTATTTGTATTCTTACAAAAAAGTGAGCTAGAGAAAAGAAAACGCTATTAAAATCATAGGATAAAACATATTTACTACTCATTAAGTGGAATTAGATCATCATGAAAGTATTTATCAGTGTCTTTATATGTGTAGGCTGAGGAGGGGTTGATCATGCTGTCTCGGGGGGTGGCAGAGACAAAAGAAAAATCTGTATGAAGGAATCTGTGCAGTTCAATCTTACGTTGTTCAAAGTTTAACTGCAATATTAAAATATAGCTAAATAAGCCTTCATTTGATTATTTTTATTGCTGTGACAAAGATAATGACTTTCAATGGTTTTCGGAACCTGCCTTTCCTTCAACTTCGCAGGACGACATCAAGAGCTTTATACAGCAAGAATATTACTGATTAGATATTTATGTCAGATTGTGTTTGTTAACTTCTAGGCATAATTAGGACTTTGCATTTTTACTTATTTCTTGGATTATTATGGTTAATGATACTTTATATTCTTATTTTTGGTACCAGATGATGATTTCACTGTACTGTCAGAGTATTGTTAATTTTTTGTCCAGAAATAATGAGGAATTATTAGGTATAGATAGGATTTGACATTAAAATACTAGCATAAATGCAGTTTTACAGTCATTTATTAATATTTATGGAATGCTTACTGACTGCCACTTCCATGGCAGGAAAATAAAAAAGGTAAACAACATAAACTTGGTGTCTGACCCCTCAGAGCTTATGTTCAAACAGATAGGCAAGCATCAGCTTGGCAAATGTGTTTATCCTTTTCATTTTTTCAGGTTATTATAGCCAAAGTATTTTTGTACCATTTTTTTAATCTATGAAGGATTTGACCAGTGGTACATAGGTTTGAATTAAAATGTAGCAAACATGGATTAGAATGATTTAGTTTGATGAAATTCTATTTAGTGCTTACTGCACACAGTCCACCCCCTCACAAATGCAAGATATGGAAGCCAGAGGACTAAATGTTTTGTTATTTTGTACGTTTTGATCTTACCCTGTACTGTAGAAATCAGGAGATGAAATTCATTTGTAATATTATTTTTGAGTTCATGGAAAAGTAGAAGACTAATGAATTCCAAAATAATGGTCACAGACACTTAGTAACATTTTTGGTAATTGAAAGTTTTTGTCTACATGTGTTACTAACAAGTTATGTTGAAAGTATTTTTATGAAAGTGAAGAGTAATAGGAGTGGGAGAAACGTGAGGATAAATATAACCAAGTTATTTTCCTTAAATCTCTTCGCATTTCTAATGTACCATACCCACCACTTAAATGCACCTATATTATCACATACTTCTGTCTTTGGTTTACTTGCTTTTCCTTTTTACTCCAAATCAATATCATCTGATAGTAACAATGATGACAGTGGGGCAGTTACCATGTGCCAAGCCCCATTTTAAGTACTTAAATAGCCTTCTTTTGCCTATATGATATTGAGGAGAATGGTTCATTTTAAAGTTAAGGTCATTTTGTAACTTAAATTTTTTTTAAAAAAAGTGTTCAATATTCATTTACCAATATCTTTGTAAAGATATTTCTCAGGATTTAAATAAACCATAGAGTCTGGATAGACACTATGAGTTACTAGAATTCAAAATTTAAGCATTTATTAGAAAAATAAAAATGTTTACTAGAAAACATTTTTATAAAATTGTTAGAAAACATGTCCATACAATTCCTACCTAATTGAAAATGGAGTAGAGAGAAGGGAGGTCAACATCATGCATAAAAGTAAAGAATCTGCACAGTAGATGACAAGAACATGAGGTTATGAACCCTGACAGAGCAAAGACCATACATACGTGGCAGGCACAGCACCCTGTATGGTGCAAAACAGGGTCTCATATTTATGTATCTACTTATTTACATAGACATATAAACATATGTGTGTGTATTCTGTGACTACATAGACATCATATAGGGAATGATGGAAAAAGGAGCAGGTTTGGGAGAGAGCCTGGGAGATAATGAGTTTAAGACATGTTGAGCATGAGATTTCTTATAAGTCATCTAAGAATAAATGGATGGGAGAAAGTTATTTTTATGGATAAGATATTCATGAAAAGATTAAGAGGTTGGAAATACAGATATTGGAGTTATCAGCGTGAAGAAGGAAGAAGGTGAAATTACTTAGGGTGATTCTATGGAAGGAGAGAGGAAGAAATCCTATGTTGGAGCTTTGATGACTATACATCATTTTTAGGGGAATTTGTCAGGCAGTAGTAGCTGCTTGTTTACTCAGAGAGTGAGGCCAGAAACTAAGAGAGAGTACAAAGTGTTGTAAAGCCCAGGAAGAGAGTGTCTCAAAAAGGAAGGATCAGTTAAAAATGTCAAGTGCTGATACAAGGACATGCCCAGTGAGAATAAACACTCCATGAGATAAATGATTTGGAGTCCATCTGGTGACTTGGGGCAGAGCAGAAGTGAACAGGCAGGTACTAGATCAGATTAAGAATGGGAACTTAGTAAAGTGAGATAGCTGGTGAGGTCACTTTGTCAAGATGTCTGGAGGGAGGTTCATAGGATTAACTAGGTAAGGGATTTGACCCAGAAAGGGCATATATGTGCAGTTTGTTTTCAGATGGCTTGAACTTGTACACGTATAAATTTTGATGGAAAAGAAACATAAAATGGGAGGGATTGAAGGTCTAAGAGAGAGTACAAGCAAGAGA